GACATTCCAGATGAGGGACAAATTTTTTTTTTTGAAGCAGTCTACTAGATAGTCACAAAATCAAAATGTACCAAACAGCCAGCTATTTGAAAATAGCTCAGCTCAATATGCAGCCAAACGGAATGTCTGCTGTTCTTACAGATCTTGTTTTAATTCATTCAAAGTTTAAATTGACCATGATTTTAGTGATATTAACTTCATTAATCGATTTTAGCAACAACAAAAATCCCAGCATTTTAAATGTTTTAATTCCAATTTAGTGCACTTTCGTGAAAATAGAAGAAACAAATACTATTAAAACTTATCCAAACGAAATCTTCTTCGGGGCCGGAATTCTATGACATTCCACCAAAATCGTTCGGAATTATTTTTTTCGTACGTAAGACTATATTGGAGTGAAAGAGAGAGATTCCACTGATTTTCATCTTTCTACCGGAATAATTCCGATAACTCAAGGAAGGGTTATCGCAATAATTTGGCTGGGATGATGAAAATTAGTGGAATCTCTCTCTTTCCCTCCAATATAGTCTTACGTACGAAAAAAAATAATTTCCGGACGATTTTGGTGGAATGTCATAGAATTCCAGCCCTGTTCTGCAATCTTTTTTATCTTTAAACATTAGTTTATAGAATGTTATACGTGTATTTGTATTGTTATGGCTTGTATCACTATCACTTTTTGGAATTAGCTTCATCTACAAATTGTTTTTTTTTCCTTACTTTTTCTCTTCATTCCCTTGAAAACGAACGCAAAAACGAAAATAAAAATGAAATATTAAAATTGGCAAACGGTTGAATTCCACACAAACACACTCACACACACAAAAAAACACTCATTCAATTCCAAAATCAAAACAAAAATGTTTACCAAAAATCCAAACCAAATCAAAAAAAAAACTGTGTGAAGGCGCACTATCAAAACCAAAACAAATAAAATCTGTGATAGGTTTGTTTCGACGTGAGAGTACGACATCGGGATCGGCGGCCGGTTCGGATCCATGTTTGGCAGCCGCGCTCACTGAGCTAGCGATGACACCATCATCAACGAATCAACCGAGCACAGTAGCTGGTGCCTACTACCGAGCGGCAAGCATTAGTGGTGCATCATCTACTGAACACCATGAGCGAAGTCTGGCAGCGGCGGCGGCTCGCGGTGATCGTCGACGTTCGATATCCATTTGTGCAGTTACACCAATCGATGAGTCCAGCGAAATGATGGGTGTCGATCCGTTAGGTGCCTTAATTGATTTCAAAAATAACGATAGACACAATAAAGTGGAGAACATTTGTAAGAACAACCGACGCCGGTCACTCTTTGAATTAACCGGGTAAGTGAATTCCATGCAACATCAACAACTACTACAGCTAAAAAAAATGTTTCAAGCAAAGTAACAACAGCCAAAATGATCTGATCAAAACCACAAACAGATTAAATACACAAACAATTGGATTCATATACAGAAATTACAATCTTTTGAAGGAAAAACAAAAATTGTAATTTTTAAACATATTCGGAAAACCAAAAGAATAACATTTTCCAAATTTTGTGATGGGAAAACGCGATCAAACACTTCCTGCATGTCACTCTCTCTTTCTCTGTCTCTCTCTCTCTGTCGTTTTTTATTTCGATGTTTTTGTCGTTCCCCGATCGCCATGAGTTCATGTTCTTTTCTATATGTGCAAAATCATACTGTTGACATCATCATGAAAATCTCGATGATTTCCCTTGGAGAGGGGTTTGTGTAAATAGTGAAAAAAAAATCGATATACACAATTGGAAATTGTAAGATTGGAGGATTTTTCTCAAAAACAATTCTATTTGGTCTCACAAAGTATATTGCTGTTGGTTCTTTCATTTTTTTGTTTCTTTAACCAATATTCGTACATGTAAAATTCGCAAATTGATGAACTTGATTTTCATATGATTGAAGTATTAGTTCACATTCGATGTTTGCAATCAGTAGATTTGAGAACGTTGGGCGTTGTTGGCATATAGTAAATGCTTTCAAACTCTAAATCACTAACACGCACAATTGCCCACTGAAATAGACTCAAAACAGTTGTTTGAAGTTTCATAATATCTAAAATTTGTTGATGTGCTTTGATCATCAATGTCAGAAGCGAAGTAATGTTGAAAACAAATGAATGGCATCACATAAGTATTCAAATCATGATTCACCACGCAGCACATTTTGATTCACAATTAGAATTATCGGTCAAAATTTGCCATTTTGTTGTAAAAAGACAAATCGAAGGTGAGATTGCTACCACTATTGGTATGTGTTGCAACACATGAAATGCGATTGTTAACCATATCATTGCCCTCAGCTAAAGCATACTTGTTAGTGGCACCGTAGCTCGATACTAAATGCATGCATTTGTGTTTCTCTCTTTTTTTTTCTTCCGGTTTCGTTTGTGCAGGAGGTCAGCGTCAGAGGAGAAGTATTCAAAATCGCTACCCGATCGAGATAGTTTCGGAGGTGGCCGACCGCGACCGACACAGTTTTTAACGAAACTAACACCGAAACCACATCTTCGGCAACTGCGATCGCAAACATCATCGCTGTTATCCTCAACATCCATCACCGACACATCCGATGAAGATGACGACGATGAAAGCGAAGAGATTCACGCTTATAACGAGCGAAGGCACAGACGTCATCAATGATTTTAAAATCGGAGGCGTTTTTGTTTCTAGATTTTCCATTAGACGTATAAATTTACATTAATTAGAATCTAATTTTCATTCTAAATTTCTTGTAACACACGGGAAAAAATAGGTTTTGTTCGCTTCTTTGCGTAAGAATTTAAATTATGCTAATCAAAAAGAGAAAAATAAATCAACTACCAGTCTCGTTCCTTTCGCGTCATAAATAATAATCAACTTGTTTTACAGTCGTGAAGTGCAGTTTCTTTCTTTTTTTCTTCATTTTTTTTTCGGTTTCAAATTAAAATTGACAATAAATTTGAATAATCTTTAATCAACTAAATATCTACATAAACAGAGCACGTTTTGTTAGAATTACGTTTTAAGCGAAATTGCACTGCGGAATTTAAAAATTCACATATATGAATGCCAACATTAGTAGGACAATTAAATGGAAACATGGGAGTAATGTTATGAAATTTGATTCTTTTGTCGCTCGCGAATAGAAAAATGATTTTGATTGGAATCCGTTTGTGCCATGCATTACAAAATCAGAAAAAAAGCGAGTGAATTGTCGTAGCGTTTAGCGCACTTTCGTTGTCCATACATGTGCGGACAATTTAGGACAAATTGAACTATCACTATATAACAATTGTTTACGTTCTTCGCCTAGAAACATTAACAAGAGTAAATAAAGCTTTGATAAATCTGCACAGCAACACGGAAAGTGCACAAAAGAGAACAAAAACAGAGTTAAATTCATTTTAATCCGAGTAAAATCGGACGATGATAAGCAAAATTGCATTGCCAACTAGAAATTACACAAACAACAACAAAAATTCAGTAGGAAAATGTTTACTCATTAAGTGTATATAGCGTAATACAATTATAGATAATATTCTATTAGTTCAAGCGAGCAGATTTTTTGTTTCGGCTCCAGGGGTTGGCGAAACAGATGTTAGGCTAGATAGGAGGGGCGGTGAGTATGATGGAAATGATTTAGGTGGAAATGAAAATAAAAAGCGGGAAAATGCATAAAATATTAAGCATATTTTAAGTACAAAACTCAATAGTGCTGAGATGGGTGTTTGCTGATGTGGCTATGTTGGCAGTTTTTAACTTAAAACCGTGCTATTCATGCATTCTCACCAAAATCATCATTTATTAGCGGAGAAAGAGAAATTTAGTTGAAATTGAGCATATTAATAGGCAAACCACCTCCACATAATCATTGAAAGTCCTCAGAAATAAACAAGTGTATATTATATTGTACAGTATGAAAACGAAACACACATAGCGACGAATATGGAGTGCACGTAGGGTGGTCTATTGTGAAGAGAAAATAGAATGATAAATATGTATGAAGAAAAAAACCGAATGATGATGACATTGAACCGCTCTACGGCATCACAAACGTTCAAACATATCGAAAGACAATTAGATATCATACTCACACACACCGCATTTAGTTTGCCACACGCCAATGGCCAACATTAGGCTGAAATATGGTACATTTTCTACAATGGACAAACACATTTTTAATCATACATCAATTGCATTCTCAAACTGTAGTAAAATTGCTAAACTGTACATCAATCAATGCAGAGAAGAAATTCAGTGTGCATTTCTTCTTCCTTCAAACAACGATTCAAATTGGTAGCACATTAAATAGGACACATTACACAATTTTCATGGCAGGTGGTATATCCAAGTTGTACTTGATTCAATACAAACACTTGCAATCCGTTAGACTGGCTGTACCTTGAACCGTGTTTTAAATTAGACAAGATTGGTTTTTTAAATAGAAAATACGAGAACAAAAAAAAGTATATCGACGAATAAGAAATTATCCGAAATGTTGATTATGCTTTTTCTTGTTGTGAAAATAAAACGGGTCTTTTATCTGAATGGATAGCTTGGCTACATATTATTGTGGACTGGTTGAACCACTTTATAGATATAAAAAATTACAGGTGAAGGATTTTCTTTAGAAGAACATTTTTTGTTTGGAGAATTTCCATTCTGGGACTGCTTACTCTATTTTTGTAGAGGAATGAGGAATGATCACTAATTTTGCTTTTTAAAAAGTGTGGTATTGACCTCGAGCTCTCAACTTATCACTTTTTGAAAGTAAAGAGAGTATAGAGTAGAGTGACAATAAATGGTATCTTTTTACGATTTCTAGTCGATAAACTGTCTTGATTGTCAAAAAAAAAAAAAATTATAGATGACCCACTGAAGGTCAACTTTCAAATTTCGGATGAGCAAAAACTCAGCACTTAGAGTATCGATCTCCCCTTTATAAAACTAAAGTGAGTAATCCAGAAAAGTCCCTTAAAGAAAACATCCAAAACAAAGAGCAATGTTCCGATGAACCAACAATCGCACACTAGTCGTATTTCATATCTACTAAACCGTTCAATCAGCTCATCCTAAAACACACCGCTTGTATCGATTTTCCTCGTCCGCCCCCAGCAGGAAAAATGAGCACATTTAACCGATGCTAATACACAAAATTGCGCTGAAAACAAGTACTAAACTAGAAAAAAATAAATAAAACTGTTCAATCGTTCAAATGAGATAAAAAAAATTGTAATTTGATTGCTGTTGAATTTCAATTAATCGCAACTAATTAAAAAATTAATTGTATTAAAGGCTTATTTGTAATGACATATTTAGATTTAGTGATTATTATATTTATGAAGAAAAAAAAACCTCTAAATGAAGAAAATTATTTTTAAGAAATGAACGATACATCTGAAATGACCAGGAGGTCACTGGAACAACACTCACACACTATGTGCGCGACTCACTTTTAAAACTAACATAATTTTTTTCTCTTTCAAGATTAATTCTGACGGCATAACTTACGCCTTACAAGGCGACTACAAGACTACACACTCGAATCAATTTTACTGCCCACTTCTTTCTCTCTCTACAGAGCGTTTATTGTTTCTGTGAAAGTTGCAAGCATACCTAAGAATGGTTTTATCATACAAATATTCTGGATCAATGCAAACACTACATAAATGAATAGAAAATAAAATGAGCTCACATTGTGAGTGACAAATTACAAATTACAAATAGATAAATACAAACAAAAAACAAAGGGTCTAATGAAAACATGGAACTTAGTTGAAAAACATCGGCTGTATATTCTACGAGATTTGTAATGAAACAAACTAAAAAGAAATTAAATGGTATTTTGTATTTGGATTTGGATTTCATTTGAGATATTTAACTATCCCAGCAGAAGAACAACAAGTAGGACATGCATTAAATTGCGAAATATTTTTTTCGCCTACATCCATTTACATTTTGACACATACAAAAATTGAACAGGTGAACACACACAAATACAATTGGACGAAAAATTCGAGAGACTAGAATTTTTCGCGCAGTACACAAAACCAACAGAGACATTGTTTATATTTTTGGTAGAAAATAATAAATTATATTTTTAATCTGTTATTATAATGAAACAGCATTTTTAATTCTATTCTATTTGGGTTTTTGTGTGTTAAAAGCATTTTGAACATTTTTTGTTTGTTTTACAGAGAAACGAAGACTACTTAACATTTTGTGTAAGCAATTACAATTATTTGTTCACTATATGAAGCGTAAGTAATTTAAACAAACGATGACTACGATTCAAATATAGAATTCTAAGAAGGCGAATGTTGAAAAAAAGGCGAATGTTGTCTGAGATTGAGGCGATTGTCCTAATTGAATTTATTTTTTGCTTCCATTTGAAGTGGGATGCTCATTAAGCAATTACTGATGAATGTACAAACACATTGAATATACTTTTGTGGATATTTGATAAAGAGCTTAACATGTTCTGCTTCATAAAAGCACACCGTTTCTACCGGCACACCGATACTCTGTCGAAATTGAGCAAATGTTTCAACATCCTGAAAATAAAATCGACAATGTTTTCCAATTAAAATTTTTTTTTTTGTTTCGCTTCATATGAATGCACACTCGAGGAAAGCACTTACTCCGGGCAAAATCAATTTGTCTGCATTCGAATACAAAAATAGCTGCGGAATATAATTATCAAGGTATTTCAAATCATTATACGGATTTATACTTGGAACTGGACTCGATGAAAACATTCCTTTCAGACGAAGGTATAGATCCTGTGTGTTCAAGGTCATGAAAATAATGATTAACAAAAATTTCGTTGGAAATGTGGAGAGGAAAAAATGCTCGTCCGTTCTTACCTCGAATACCCATTTCGCTGCCAGTCCCAATGTTATGCACCATGAAACTATGGAACCAAATCGACGCTCTTTACCATAAATAGATGACACCGCTCGATAAAGAGACAGCAGACGCCGATCGCCTGGCGACGAATCGAATATTATCCCACATATCTGAAATGACATCATGAAACAGAACAACGTGAACGAATTAAACGATATTCATTGTTGCTGTAGTCAAGTCAATAAATCAATCCACTAACATCTAATGGCGTTTGAAATTCCTTGATAGCCAAGTCAATATGCTGATATAAATATGCGCCGCCATTTGAGAAAACGTGTAGAATTATTGGATTCGCATCGAAATTCATGTCGTACAAGAGTTTGACGATTTTCTGTCCAATCGGTTTCATGGCATCACGCTTCCAGAAAATATTCTCAACAGGTGCCGTGTATCGAACAGTAATCAATCTGATGGGAAAAATTGATATAATCACAATCAGACATTCCGTTGTTGTCATTGTCGTTATAACATCGAAAAATCAATCAAGTGAAGCCAATGGTATTGACATGGTAGTGCATGGCTAAGTTTAAAGGCTTGGAATTTTGGCTTTTTTACATGGCAAATGTTTTTAGACGTGTGTTGTAAATGGGAAAACTTCCAAATGTCATGTGATATGGATGCGATTCAAGGTCAATGAATGGTGCAGTTAAACGGCTCTATTTTATCAAGGTTAAACGCTCTGAATTAATTTTCTGTTCTGGTGCTATTCGAATTCAGTGGGAAGCCAAATGAGATCGAACATTTAATTGATATTGAGGAATACAAATGTGAAAGAGAAATGAATTGAAATGGCTTGAAAGTGTGTGTAAAGCAACAGTGAAATGGCACGTACAAATGGAGCGATGTGAATGAAAATATTGTCTAGTGATATTCTTATGAGAATCATTCAATCAAATGAATGTTTAGAAAAAACAAAATGACAAAATGAACCAAAAATATTTTGTTTACCCACGGTCCTCATAAATCTTTGAATATTTCATGAGATATCGGTCTTGACAACCAGCCCATCCCAGCAGCAAAACAATCGGTGTGGTGCTATCATCGGTAGCAAAATTAAAATCACACTCGGCACACTCATTTGGTGGATATGCCTGGCTAATGGCACTTGACTGCGGCGGAGGAAACTTAATGAAATATTCCAACGAATCCTGACGTGGTAAATAATGGTCTTCAATAGCTGACGATGACATAATTTCTGCTGTCACCGTTTTATATACAAATTAAATTGATATGCTTAATTTAAGGCTGTACGTTTTAATTGAACACCAAATGTTGCGTTTGGTTTGTCGTTTGAGTTTAATTGAATTCCAAACGAAATTGAAATAGTGGAAAATCAACTGGAAACAATATCACTGGCAAAAACAAGTGACAATTTTCTCAATACGTCCCTTTTAACCGGTAAACTGTTCCAGTGACTTTCATATACTGCAGAGCACTATGTTAACCGTGACATCAGGATCCGTTGTGCATATGGAGAAAAAACAGTGATTTTTCGATTGAATTTGGAAGGATAGTTGCAGCACATGCGCCGTTGCTTTCATTCGAATTTCCGTATTCTTTATCTTGATGGAAAGAAAAATGAAATAAGTTCTTTTTTTCAAAATGTTTACAAGAAATTTGTTTGAAAACCAATGTTTTAATGACATAAATTACCTCAGAGAAAAAAACCACCTCAAAACCTAAATAATTTATTGAATAATTATTAAAATTCCACTTTTCATCATGAATTCGCATGATTGCTTCGTGATGTAAACAAAAATCACGCTACTTGTACTCTGCGACAAACGGTTGCGTACACGTCTGTGACCAAATGTCAAACTCAACAGAGCAGTTCATATATGGTCGACACCATTTACGGAATATTTCAAAATTATAACTCAAAAAAACGATGTTCATTTAATTTTTTCTATAAAATTAACACGATTCGTTGATATTTTACGAGTTTAATTGATGAAACATTCACGGTACAAAAATACTGGTCGTATTCCATTCAAATAAGAATGTTCGTATACCAGGAAATGGCTGCGTACGTTGGTTTGACGTCTGTCAAACGGCATACGTTTCGTTCTCTTTCTCTCGCAGTAGCTGTGGTCTCAGTTGTATGCTTGTATGTCGTTTAGTCATAAAATTGCGTTTGACTTGCATTTAATCAGAGGAAAAAAACCCATTAGTTGATCAGTCATCTTGAGAAATTGAAGTAAGTGTGATTTTTAATTATCCTAAACCAATTCAATCTAATGCATTATCATGTTTCTATCATAATTCCATTTTATGCCAAATCACGATTGCGTTTGATTAAATTGGCTTTATCTGTGTCTCTTATCATCAAAGTGCTTATTGGTTATTTTGTGGATATATTTTGTAGGCGAAACTGGCGTTGAGTCTATCGTTGCGACTTTTGAAACAAAATTTACCTAGATTCGGTTTCAGTAATTCTTTTTCAACGTCTCAGGCAAAAATGGTCAAGGAATACCACGTGAAAGGCTACGAAGAGTTCACCAAACTGGCTGAAAGTTTGGAAAGCACCGGTGAACATGTACACATTTTGTTCAGCGGCGGCAAAGACGAAACTGGCAACAGCTGGTGCCCGTACTGTGTAAAGGCCGATCCAGTTATCAAGGAGGGACTGAAACATGCCGCCGAGAATAGCCACTTCATTCACGTCGAAGTTGGAGATCGACCATAGTAAGTACCGATTTTTGTGGATTTTCACAAGGAGAAAATGTGATTGATTCAATTGAAAAACAAAAATTAAAAGCGATACAAAGCATCACAATAACCAATTTCACTTTTTCAGTTGGAAAGATTTGAACTGTCCATTCCGCAAGGATCCACGCACCCATTTGGTCTTCTTGCCCACATTACTTCGCTGGAAATCGCCACAGCGTTTGGATGGTGAACGGTGCTCTCAATCAGATTTGGTGGAAATGCTTTTCAGCGACGACGATTAGACTCACAACGTCAGCACACAACTGCCCAAAATACCCAATTTTTTCACATTTCAACCGAAATTCTAGTTGCACTTATTTCAGTGTACTTACCACAGTAACAATTATACACAATAAAATATTATCGCTTTTGTCATTAAAATTGAATGTAACACGATCGAATCTTTTGTTTGTGCATGATTAAAATTCATTTAATGTACACATTAAACTTTTGATGGTGCAGATTGCATACATGAATTGGTGATGTTGAACAATTTCAAACGCAGCTATCGTGGAATACTTTATTCATGGTCACCTTTAGTTTGGCCAACTGTAGTATTGACTCTATGAAACACATTTTTTATTATATTTTACTCAAATTCTCAACGTGAGAGCTACTTATTGAATCTACAATTTTAGAATCGACAACGATTCAAAATGATTTATTTGCTTGATTCGGTCACCCGAATACTACGAGCAAATACTCCAATGAAAAATTCAAAACGCATCGCTTAGAGTAAATGTCAATTTTTTCTTTCCTTCAAAACTATCGTTGTCGATTCTAAAATTGTAGAGTCAATAAGTAGCTCTCCCGTTGAGAATTTGAGTAAATTAGAATAATGACTTTGCGGCACCAGTGCTGAAAACTGAACAAAAATCAATTTCTGATCTAATTTCTGACATTTTATATTTTCATATAATGAAAACTAAACGAAATTTTGATTTAAAATCACTGATTGTTGATTGCCAATCACCCGTTTGATTATTCATACTTTCAGATCGGTGTTAAAACTAACCTCAACTGCAATTGCAGCAGCATTATGATTTATTTTGGCTAGGTAAATGGTTTACCCAAAAGTCCATGTTGTTTTAGATGAAATGTGAACACAAACAGGAAATCATTTTTCTTGAAAGATGCTTCTATTGAAAAGGGCAAGAAAGTTCACTGCAATTATTTTTTTGTTTGAATTTGGGCTGACATCTCAAAATAATTCTTGGTCAAAACTGAAAAACTCAACTCCATAGCAAAAAAAAACGTTTTTTTTTCCTTGTCAAATCTTCTCGTCAATTTTATTTTCAAACAAAACATATGAATGTTTTTGAGTCCAGCTCTTGCCATGTTCACGCCAATCCATCGTCGAGTGCCGCCGCAATTCGAAGGGCAGCATTCAAAGTTGCGTCGACTCTTTTCAGAATGGCGTTCCGTAGGGCATCGTCAATGCGAAATGTGAGAAGATTCGATGCGTGAACTTGTTCATAAGTTGACTTGACCGAACCAATGACGTACACGAAGACAAAACCTGGTTGAATGGGGTTCTTCCTGTACATGTCTGGCACTTGGTTATTTGGAATGACAATCGCCGGCCACCATTTTATCGCTTTTCCGACTTTTGCGGCTTTTGCATACACAATATCGGTCGGTGTATTTCCAGCTAAACATTGGCGACATTCCGTTTCATTCCGATGGCAACTTTCATGAAATATGCTGGCACATTTCGTACATCGCTTCAACTCCATCTTGTTATTTTGTCTTAGGCAAACGGAACAGGTTAAAATAATGTTTCTCTCGCTGTTTTGCCATCTCGGCAATTCAAATGGAATGCCACGTTTGTCTTGTAAAATTTTCTCAGCGATTGATTGTGCCTCTTCATTCGATATGGTTGCTGGAGCAAGTTTCATTTTGTGCCTTAAGTCGTAGACATTGAGCTTGAATTGTTGCTTGTCCGTTTTCAGGTGACATCGTGTTAGTTGCGATTCAAGTTTGGAAAAATCTCCGTCCCTGATGTCGGCCAGAATTTTTTTTAATCCATCGGAACAAAATTTCAATCGTTCAACCGCATTTATCGATCTCGTCAGTTTTTCGATGGCTTTTCGACAATTACGCTCTTTGATCAATGCCAACGTCCTATTTCCAGAATAGATTTCACTGTCGAGCTGAATTTCGGTATGCAGTGTCAAATGCTCTGAGCCAATTATTATCACATTGTTGTCAATCAAATTTCGCACTTCAACTCTGCCGCCTGTGAAAATTCAATGCACTTGAATTAGCTTCTGAATGATTTTTTCCCTCTAAATTTTTTTAAATCGAAAAAAAAAGTTTTTTCTTCCATTTCATCATTGAATTTTACTCACCATCTAAAATATCTTGTACAATTACAAGGGTATCCAAACACAGATTGTGTTTAATCCAAACGATTTCATTTTTTCCTATTTCGATTCCGTCACTTAACTCTATTCTAATAGGTTCTCCATCAATTTCTGATGGAGAATTATTATTTGAGTCTGAACTACTTCTTCGACGGTTATTGAATCTGGTTCTTATCATTTTGGACTCGTTTCCGTAAATTACTTTGAAAATTTCGGAAAGAATTCGTTAGGTTATCGATAATTTTGTGGATCTGGATAATAAAATTTGTGCGCGCAACGTTTTAATTGCTATTCTTATTATTTGGTAAGTCTTTGGTGGTGGACAATTGGCAAACGACTGAGCGCATAAATGACAATGTTAAGCGGTGTTAGTTGCAAACTAAATGTTAAGCACTGTTCACAATGACCTTGGTTCTTATTTGCATACAGTTGCCATCATTCTCATTTACATAAAAATAAATTATTTTATTGATGGGATTAATCTTTTTCTAGTGATCATTTTCGGAATAATTTTTTTTTCATTTGAAAATTATCTCTTCATCGAACAAAGGATAAATCATCTCATTTGAATATTTGATTTGTAGCGTTGCTTGTGATAATGTGACCCTTGCGGTAATTTTGTTTCAAACAACCAACCGTCGTTTATGAAAATGTGCAATGTGTGTGATTGTTATTGCTTGTTGCTAGCACATGCTACCGTGTGACAGTTGATATATTTGTGTACACTTGTTGCCGTATGACAAAGTTGTCGTTTTTATTGTTTTTGTCAGTCGTAACTAAATCGTTCATTTGTTCGGTCGGTCGGTCATTACACTGATTTTTTCTCTTCCAAGTTAGAAGTGCTGACTATTTTGATTTGGAACTTTCAAACAAAATGTACGAGAAGCATGATAGTGACGACGACAACCGCTATGTATGTTCACAAATAAAACCAAGCTGGAAGCAGGCTTACGAAAATGGCAATTTTGGCGATGATTTTCCACCGGATTTACAAGTGAATGCTGCGCCGTCACAAGCACTAGATCAATCAGCAGTATTTTTAACGCGCATCCTAAATAGGGTTCGGAGCAAACAAAATGATCGACAGCCAGTTGAATCGACCGCTCAAATAGTGTCTACGGTTAAAATTCTGACTACATCTGCGCAAAAGCCACAAGACATTCTAATGAACGATGTAATTACAGTTCTCAAGTCATTTTTCTCGACTTTTCTGCAATTTTCCTTCATATTTTGATGAACTGTCATTGAAATCATTACCTCTTTTGCAGACTCCATGCCAACCGAATCCAATTCAGAGACCGGTCGATCCAAGACTACAGATTGGACGTGCGTGCGCTCAAACTGCGTCTCGTGTTGGGATGCTGCCAAATGTGTCGCATCAAAACGTACATTATCAAAGTGTATATTACCCAAATGTAGCTATTCTGTCAACATTGAATACACAACGGCCATCTGATCCTCGGTTACGGCGAGAATGGCAACCAGTGTCAACGCAGAGCGTTCACTTCGCATCACCAATTCAGCCGTCTGATGCTGAAGCAATTGCCAGACGCCGTATTACGATGAATGATTACAAAAGATACACTTCGGATCCATCAGAGCCGGAAAAAGATCGTGCAATCAGCATCAATCAAGTGTCATCAACACAAGCCTATGTTCATGATGAGCAAAAGTCAAACGTTGGTAACGATGAGCAAATTGACAGATCAAATCCACAAAACGTGTGTCAAGGAAACGAACAAGTTCCAGTGGCATCGCCAAATGATCAAGAAACTGAACCCAGTCAATCTTCCTCGTCGAATATCGCAACGTCAATCATTCTGCAGCCGGAAATAGATCCATCCACTGATTCTTCGCCAACAAATCCGAATCAAGAAATTGAAGATGAGTTTATGGAAAATGTGGCAGACGAAGAGATTACAATCAAAGATGAGGTCGTCAACGATGTACCGGCCGCACAGAATGTTGTAGAGGATTACTATGATTCATATGACAGTGATGCGACTGAGGTATTGGACTTTGACGCGTTCCAAAGAGAACGTATGTCACATATGTGGAAGGAGCCGGTGATCATTGACATTGGCGAAGGTACGATTAATGTGAAATTGAACGCTTTTTATGGACCATATTACAAATTGAGAGATTTTCTTTAAAATTCTTAGTTTTTTTGAACGAAAATTGGATTTTCCATCATTTATTCCATTGAAAACATAATTTTTTCAACAGAAAATATGTCGCCACAGTACAAAGTCGAAATGGGCCTAGAGTTGCAAGAAGTGCAAAAAGAAGAGCGCCAAAGTGAATCGGAAGCTGATGATAGCAACAATCAAAGTAAAGCTCTGCCGATACGGTTTGATTTCAGTCGAGAAGTTCGCATCGTTTTGGAAGATATTGCTAAAATACCAATAGAATCAACCGTTTTTGATTTTCTCCAGAAAAAGAAGCGACTGACCAAGCCGTTGCCTGAATCTGAAGCGGAACAATTGCCACCCATCGAAATCTCGTCCAGCGATGATGATTTCGTGTATGAGCTATCGGATTCTGATAGCGATATAGAAATGATTTCATAGTTTGCTCAAATCATGATACGATCGCCGATTTTGTTCTAAAGAAAAGTAATAATTTTTAATTCCGTCTCAGACACACTTTATTTCATATTTTTTTATGAAAAAAAAAATTATATTTGAGCCCAGTGGCAGTTCCATTCCTTAATTTATTGCATTTAAGTAGCATTTCATTCATGCATGACATGCATTGCATGTATAACGATTAGAAATCTAAATCAAGCATAAGTGCATCGTCGGCGTCATCATCGAGAATGTGATGGTAGTCCATGCTTTCCACCGCTGGTTGAACTGATGTTTGGTCACCATTGTTATTGTTATTGATTTGACCGCCTTCTGCTGATTTGGGACTTTCGAAGTAACGATCAATTGTCTGATCTGATGACTGTGCCTGAAAAATAGAAAAAAATGTGTAATTTCGAATACTCGATTGAATTTGTTTAAAAAGAAAATGTATCGAAACATTAAATAAAATTCAACTTACCGAAACTGTAACCGTCGAATGTGTTGCATCAGTCAGATCTTCGGAAAAGATACCGGCTTTGTTGAGAACATCTTGCTTGCCTTTCACCATATTCCACATATAATCGTCAACTGTACCCTTTGCCAGCAAATAACGGCATGTGACCGGTGACTTCTGGCCAATACGATGTGCACGGGATTCACATTGAGCCAAAGTCTGGAGAAGAGACAAAGGAATTGAACAGATTTGTAAAGTAAAGCAATTTTTTCAAGAAAAATGATCGATTTTTCATTGGATGACCATTGGGATTTTAATCAAAAGTCTGTGATACTCACACTTGGGTTCCAATCGAGCTCAGCAAAAACAACCAGTGACGCAGCCGTCAGCGTGATTGCAGCATTGCATGCTACAGAGAAACAGAAAAGATTAAAATAAATAAGCGATAGTGACTTGATGGAAACGTTGTAGAAAAGATTTCAATCAATCAATTTGTATGTGTAGACTTACCTTGTAAAGAGAGAACCGCCACTTGACACGACTTGTTATTTTGGAATTTGTCAATGTACGTTGCACGGAGATCATTTCTGGTTGAACCATCGATCCGGATGAAATTCGTGTTCAGACCAGTCAAACATTTGGACAACGCGTCCTATTTGAAGAAAAAAAAATGCGAAAACGTAAGTATGGAAGGAGAAAATGATACCGGTTCACTTTCTAACTTACCATCATCACCTTGTGGTGGCCAAAAATGATGAACTTTGTTTTTTGTTTCACCAAATCCGTCACGTACGAGCTGAGAAGTACAGAAATTAAGCATTTGTTTTTTTTCTCTTCAGAAGCATTGGTACTTGAGTGAACCATGTTTCTAAAGGAAAGTGAACATTTTCTTTGGAATCAAGTTTCGACAAAATCTCACCAAACAGCGTTTGCTTTGAGTATGGCCGATTCGGCATACAATCTGAGCAACACGGCCTTTCGATCCTGTCCTTGTAATTTCTTAACATCTTCGTTAAATTCTTTGCAGTTTTCAATTGTTTCTCTCATGCTGTCATCGTGTGTATTCCAAACTTTTTTCGAGTCGAGCAGGATCGTTTCACGAGACTTTTCACCCAATTCAAACTGTACGCTTTCTTTGGTTCGACTGTGAGAATCAAGAAAATTCGTACTCAATACTTATACACATACAAATAGAACGAGATTATTTTGATTAAAACACAAAAAATTAATTTACCGAATCATGAATTTGCGCCGCAATATGATGTTCAGCTCTGGCAGATTACTGCTGCCCGAACTGTCAAGTCCGAAGTTTGTCTCTTTGGCATCGCAATATCGCACAGCATATGGTTTGAAACCACCAAAGAAATTCTTATCAATCAAACTCAATTGACAGAACAATTCATTGGGTCGAGATAATGCCGGTGTACCTTGAGATAGAAATGAATTGATTGATTTTTATTTCAGTAACTTTTATTTCCATTCATCAGACGATATAAAATGATTCAATGTTCACCTGAGAGCAGAATTATACGTTTGGCTTTCTCACACAAACGAGTGGCACTTTGAGCCGATTTGGTCTTGTGGTTTTTAATCGTGTGAGACTCGTCCTATTTTCCGAATAAAACATATTTCAGAAAAAAAATGCAAGAATGGAATTGAAAAAATGACTTCGATTCAATTTCTAACTTACCAAAATGACGCAACCGAATGATCTTTTTAGCAAAGTTTCAACATTTTTATCCATTAGCGAATAGCTAGTGATGAGAACTTTGTAGTCACCAACATACTCATTTGTTGATGTCAATACCTTAACCGAACCATTTGAAATCGCTGGCAGTAAGTTGTTTATATGCTGTGCCCAGCCGTCACGTGCAGTGGCAGTGGTGACAATCAACAGCGGCCAATCGTCTTTATAGAAATCAGCAATTGCTATGGCTTGATAAGTTTTACCTGAAAGCAGAACGAACCATGAAAATGAATTGTATCATAAAAACGAAATCCAATTAATTTCATCAAGCACATGAAGAACACACCAAGTCCCATATCATCAGCAATCAAACAACGGCCTCCGTTGCTTATTCCGAATGCAACACCATATTTCTGGAAACCAAGTAGCTGTGAACTCAAAGTGGGTTCGATTGCTTGAAGACACAGAAAATCCAGCTCTTTTTCCTCTGAAAGGATTGAATCGACATTAATGTTTTCAATACTGACTACAATTAACTCTGTTTGCAATCACTTTATTCGGACCCTTCATCCATTAGTCTAACATGAGTTTACCTTCTTTCAACAGTTTCAAAACGAATTTTGGCAATGGACCAATTGCGACGTTTGGATTGAGTGCGCTGACTTTCTTTTGCACCTCTTCATAATCGCTCAAATTAAATGACCAAATCTTGTCTTTGGGATCTGCAAAAACGTGATTTTTTTTTGATTTTTTAGAAAACTCAAACCGTGTAACTAAAAAAACTCTCTCTCAAAGTCTGTCTCCAAATACTTACCGTACGATCGTGTTGGAATTGTTTTGAACACATCAATCAATTTATTATGGTAACCACTTTGAACGACTTGAAATCGTGTTGATGAGATCATGGAGCATGTGCATGTGACTGGTTTTGCCATAATTGAAGCCCATGTTCGTTGATTCAAATTCGTATTCTGTGCTGCAGTATTTTGTACCGAATTGCGTGGATATGGTTGCGAGGAGATTCGATTGTTGTGACTCGGCGTTTGTTGTTGCTTCATCTTATTTTCATATTGATTCAACGTATTTGCCTTGTCGTTGCTGGTATTGCCATAAAAAACCGATGTAGCTTTGGCGGCTGTTCCAGGACTCGTGTTTTTGCTCGGAACATTGCCTGTTTGTGCTAATGCTTTGGTTTGTTTCAACCGTTCCAATGCCTCACGCTTCTTTCTGGCAATTTCCTCAGCTGTGCACGACATTTCGATTTTTTTATCCTAATCTATCCTTACTTACTAATGCGATTCGTTCAACAAAAACTCTTAGCCAATGTGAAAAACAGAAACAAGCGTTTGACTTGCAATGATGAAATTTGCTTTGTTTACTATATTCAGGTTGTAACATGTGTCAAATTGCGCGGAATAATTCTGCTCATCGTTCAACTGTCACTTGTTGGATATGGTTGGTGAGTAAAGTGGTGAGTAAACGTTTCTCATCCACACTCGATGGAGTTGCCAAATTCAAATTCTTTTTTTTTTAGAAATTTATTTTCGGTTTTATTTCATTTAAATCGTTTTTTTTGGACTGATTTCGTTACAATTGAAAATATGTATATCACTATTTATGGCTTTGAGTGTTATACTTATTGACTACACATGTTTTTGTATCAGTACTTTTAATACACATAAATTACTTGTTTTAAAAAAAGTTGCGACGACATCTTATGAACTAAACTTAGAGCATATTTTTGGTTAATCGGAATGAAAAATGTTAAATATAAACAAAAATCTAAATTGTTAAATATGTTAACAATAAACTAGCTACTAGAACTAATGTTGAGCTGTATATCGTTGGTGAGTTACTGGTTTCCATCACCCTGGCACGTTCTTCACCTTCGAAATATGAATCAAAACTTCCATTGGAACTCCTTTGTTGCGACGCACGAATTTGGCAAGTATCACTACAATCGCTTCCCTCACAAATATCACAAAGCGTCGTCTCTCGCATTCGATAGAATTGACGAGCGCGACGGGCTGTAATTGATCAAATTTGAATATTTATTTTAAAGCATAAAAAACGAGTGCCAATGATTGAAAACAATAACAAAGAACTTGAAAAAAAACAGAACCAAACTAAGCAAGTAACGTACAATTGTCGTAATAATCATAAATGATAACAGCCGCTCGTCGTTGCTCGGCTACTTTTTGCGTTCGGAAGGCATCCAGAGTTGGGCAGAGCTCTTTTCGTGTCAAATGATCGAAGTAAACTACAACGACGGTGTCTGCGTTTTTAGTTTCCACTTTCATCACATTTTCAGACACCTCAAGTGATGGTAGAGTGTCCACGTCGGCCGTGAATCCGCTGGGAAAGTGAACTTCCATTACGGCCATATTCGATTTTTCTTCATTGCCAATTGCAACGAAACTATTTGAATGGAAAATAAATTATTATCATTTTTTTCGTATTTTCAAATCTTTTTTTTTTCATACAAAAACTCCCAAATTGGAATCGAAGAATGAAGTTTCAATTACCTGGTGCAAACAGTAAGATGCAGATAGTCTTGATGTGAGTTTTTATTTGGCTGTGGATCTAATGTGAATCTTGGCCAGGCACCTGTTACATTCAAATTGTACTTGTATGACAATTGAAGCAATGCAAATCCTCTTCCACTGGCCGTGACATTCACTTGCCGCACATTATTTGGCAGCTACGAATAATGAAAAAAACAATTTTCAAATAATTCAATGCCATTGGAATGGTGAACACAATAGCTTACGTCATATATTTGCTGAATCAATCCGTTGTCTCCATTGACATTAATTCGACTTTCACCGCCGTCATATTTATATTGGATTTGAACGTTGTTATAGTTACTTGATGTACTCTCGGCATATTTGGCCAATGCTTTCAATCCGACGAATGTGTCTTGCGTCGATTGGAATCCTCCAAATTCATTTCGTTGTTTTATTAGCCACTTGATGATTGGCAATGCATCTGAATTGAGACCAGCTTCTAGTAGCGCCAACAATCCATACGACGTGATTTCAACGTTTACCGAATTCGGTTTGGTATACCAAATATTCCTGGCGTCTCCCGGCGGTACTGGCTTTTCCCACCATTTTATGTCATCTGGAAGCATGAATTGAATGAAATTTGAAATCAAAGGGATAAAAAGAGAAAAACTTTCATGAATGAAATAATAATAATAATCGTTCTTCCCACTGGATGTATTGATCTCCATACAGAAAACTCACCCTTTCGCTTCGATTTCAAATCGAATGATTGCAAAATGTAGTTTTTGGAATTATGATTGGCCAATTGCAAGGCATACGATGCAACAGCATATGAGTAGATATCTTCATTTCCTTTAACATTCTTGACAACGTAGTCAATTGCTTTGTTGATTACATTTTCATACATTCCGCTCTTGCTCTGAAAGTCAAAAATCGATTTTAGTTATTCCAATCAAAATGGTCAAAGTGATTTAAATCTTCAAACTTACTCGGTCTTCCAAAAACGCTATCAGAACATATGCAGTCAGAGCAGTGCCTACATCAAGAAACAATCGATTAAGACTTGTATAAACTCAAGAAGAAAATACAAGAATCTTTACCTTGTCCACTTTCACCTTGCATTTCAGCTGACAGAACGCTTCCAACTTCTGGGAAACTACCATTTGGCGCTTGGACACGGCTCAGCCAGGTTAAGGCTTCATTTATGATTCTCTGTTCAACTTGAATGTATTTTGAAGCTTGAATGAATGACCGAGCAACAAATGCTGTTAACCATGTGCTGCCGCTCTTATCTCGTTTTCCAAATGCACTGAATGAACCGTCATCATGTCGATAGGTCAATTCACGTTGATAACCCGCATTCATGAAGGTGGTTGCTTTCATTTCAACAGCCGGTGTCAATTGATTTGTTGTTTTCAAATAGTCTAAAATCACGATATTTGGCACGAAATTCAACATGTTCTGTTCTCCGCATCCATCGGGCATTCGAATGAGTTTCTCCATGTTTTTCACTGATCCACCGAGAATGTCACCTTTGAAATAGAGAAAATCGACATCAATACAATTTTGTCTCCATAGAGCAAAACCCTTTTATCATTTTTTTTTCTTATTTCTGAAGCACCATAGCTTTATCTCACTCACCAACGGCTGAAATTTCAATTTTTGTGGAGTCGGGAATTGCATTTTTGGGAATAACAAACGTAAAGTTTCCATCGAATTGCGATTTGTCACGTAGATCGATGAGCATTGCCAAGTTTTCCACTAATGGTACACCTTCTGGTTCAACTTGCAAGATTCGTTCAACTCCATCGCCTTGTCTTGGACCACTTGCTGTCACCTTTGAAATTGAGAAAATAGACATCAATACAATTTTGTCTCCATAGGGCAAGACCCGTTCATGTCAACTCACTTTTATGGTCAATGGGCCAACTTTTTTCGGTTTCACCATAAACGATACACCAGCTCCTTCATTCGCATTAACATGGATTGTCTTTCGTCGGAAGAGCTCGATTTCTGTGAAATTGAAAAAAAGTTTTCATTTTCAATTCCAATTTCGACTTATCTCTTTTGATTCGTTTATAGTTCCACGCACGTCTAATGCTATTTGTTTCATTCATTGTCCGAGGTAATAACTTACTTGGCGAATCAACTTCATTGGCCATTTGCACAAATTCAAGCTGTTGATCGGTATTATGTAAAGTAACTTCAACATCGAATTCATCGTCCAAATAATTGAAAATGCCAACTGGAATGGAAAGCACTTCGCCACGTTTTATGGAATAAGGCAGATTCAGCGAAACAAAGAACGGTTGGAACACTTGCAAACTGCGTGGCTCTTTTGACAAGCCAAGACCACTGATTGGATCCAACGAAAATCCAGTTATAATCCATGATGTAATTGTGTCTGGCACTTTTTTGTGAATCGTATGCCGCCCTTCATAGCTGTATGAAGAAATCCGAAATTATTAGAACGTATTCAGAATCAATTTTTCAATGAAAACTGTAAGCATGCAACAACACATTGATTGTACACGAGACAGAAACGATGAGGGATTATTTGGATGAGGAATGTGGTTTTTTATGTTAAATTTTCAAAGCCCAGAGCCAACTTCCCGATGAAAGCCCATTTACCGTCACCAGAATTAGTATCGCTTGTATGAATCGCCTGTTTTTTTATTTTTGGTTATGCGATAGAAATGGACGAACAATAAAGCAAATAGTTACCCAGAGGAGAAATTAACAAACAAAAATGAATCGCTAATATCGTTCATAAGATGGACACGGGGTCGATCCCAGTATGGTTTTGGTATGCGAGAGAATGCATATGGACCAGCCAATGGCGGGCGTGTATTTGTTCTCAGAACGTGAGCTGGTCCGATATCTGTTTTCTTAACCGTTGTTAAACTTCGACCGTACGAAATTTCATTATCATACGGAGAAGCGGTAGACGATGTGTACGCTGCTGAATATAAAACACCAGGTTGGATCAAACAATTGATCATTTGAAAAGATTAAAATTTCAATTGGAAAAAAAATATGTTTTCTTAAAACAAAACTTCTAGTAGGAAATTCCAAGAGAATATTAAAAGCATCTATGCTAACAAACTACATAGCAACAATTGTTTCCTTTCTTTGGGTCATTTAAGAGGGACAATTCGGGAATTTGAGACATTTGAGCGGATGTAAATATTTACTTTCTATCTCGTGAAATCGATAATTTTCATTCAACTAAAGAGCATTCTTTCTACAGGTAACTTTCTATTAAGTAGTTAACCTAACGTTTCCGATTTCGTTCCATAGCCAAGTTTCTGGGAAATTCTTTCGAATTACAATTGAACTTGTGGATACAGTATTCGATTCAGAGAGGTGAAGTATTTCTTCTTCATCGCCCGGAAATCCATAATATACGTAATCATAATCGTTATCTAGTTGTAGAATTGAGAGAAAATTTATTTAAATTCTGTAGCTATTTAAACGAAAAATTTATAAAAACAACTGTAAAATTATGAAAAACTATAAACCGTTTTTTCTTGAATATTCGAGTGCTATTTCACACAGCCTATTTGTGATTTTTTTCATTGACTAAACATTTTTCATGGAAAATATTTGAAATTCATATTTTGAATTTAAGAAAAACTTACGGTTTTCGGTTGGTCTGGCATTTGTGAGCAATATTGCACCGGAACTCTACAAGAATAATAAGAGCAAATGCAAATTTAACCTTCATGGTAGTCATAACAAGAAAATTTTGGCATAATAAGAGAAATACTGACGGCAAAATCTTCCCATTCGTCGATTCCATAGTGTCGTGATGGGTTTGATTGTTTCCTGGAATATTCATCAAGCTCGTTAAATATTTGTGATTTATCGAAATCGTTTCCTTTCCGCAATAATAAGACACTTTGATCAACACCCAAGAGACCAATATATGAGTTAGGTTTGCTGACAACCGTAATGTCCACTTCTTGTCCAGGGCGCGCTTGATTACTTGAAACATCAAGCTCAACCTGTAATTTTGAATAGATTCAATTTAAATTCTATCAATTGTTCCATCTTTTCCATTTTAATTGAAATATATTTCATTAAAAATCGTTGATATATCCACAAAAAATTGGCAAAAAATCTGCTTCGATCTTCAAAATTTTGCTATTTACCCAAATGAAAATAAAATTTAAAAATAAACTTACAAAGTTCTGCAAATCTTCACCAAGGTCAATTTCCAATCGGTCGGAAATAATTTCATTGTCTTTGATGTAATGCACAACGAATTGGGCCTTTGGAACCATAGCAAACGAAGCCAAAAATGTAATCGTATGGCTTTTCCTATTTGGAATTTCAACGGAGTTGGTTACGATAATATCGCCACGCCCAAACACTTGATATGATAGATAACGTAAACTTTCGGTTGATTGAACCTCGACGGTTATGTCTTTGTTGATTCTTGGCCTAGGCAAAATGAGCAAATACAATTAAAAAATGTTGAAAACAAAATAATTTGTTCTTGAACGATTGTGCACAAAATGCTTACTTCTCCGTTTGCAGTGTTGCCCTGAGAAAGGCCCGAGTATCCGAATGAACAGCTGGAATCCATCCTAATCTCTCTTCAGCATCCAAGTAAACGAATTTCAGTGTGAATCCATTGGAATGTGGCACGATGATATCGTAGTGAAGCAAACCGTTTGAATCGAGCGTATGAACGGTTTCAGTTGCATTTTCATCATCATAATAGCTCGATGCTAATCGAACACGAATGGTGCTTGCACCACCGGTAACTGGAGTTCCATCGAATTTCTGCACTGAAACTAGTACATTGTACGGTAGTCCCGGTTTGTAATTGGGTGACGCATTGCTCAATACAATTTTGTATTTCGATTTGTGTAAAAATAAGTCGACGGATGTGTTTTGTTTGCGACCAGTGAGCTCTTCTTCAACAATAGCTTCCATGGCCATGGCTTGTTCGTAGTCTTCTTTGACATTCAACTCCTTCGCAATGTCAAATTCAACGTACGCTTTACCGTCAATCTTCGACACTTTGCGCGTAATCAAATTGTTTGCAAACGGTTGGAATGAGCCATAGGTTTTTGGATACACAGCCACCGTCACTTCTCCTTTCACCGGTTTGCCATATGTGTATTTCGTGCGAATCGTCGCCCGGATTTTGCCATCTTGGAAATATTGATGTTTTGGCGTATCAATGGTGACGTCAAACTTTGGCAAAACATATTCGGCCACTTCGAATTTATACTTTTTCAATTCACCCATAGCTTCAACGGCGATATGCCAGTCACCGAGAACCGGATAGCTTGATAACTGCAACTCTTCACTAACAACACCACGAGATGTTCGCAGGTTGGCATATCCTTTGATGCGATTATTTGCTCCATCCTAAAAATATTGCTTTCTTTTAAAACACTTCTCGACAAAAAGTTTTCGCTTCGTGCTAGTTTTTGCTCCAAAAGTGAGTTGGGTTATGTTACTATTTAATGAAATGTCAATTTCGTCATCGATTGCAATACACGCAAATCCAATAAGACGAATAATTATACCTAATTAATACAAAAATTGCTACTTTACCGTAATAAAAATGTTGATTGGTTCTTGGCTCGGAACGGGTTTTAAATTTTGATCGAGAACAAGTATTCTGAAACGCACCAAATCGCCGGGTTTATAGATGGCCTTGTCGCTTTGCACGAAAATTGATGCATTTTTCCCCACAAAACTAAGCGGTCGCTCGTTACGGAAATCAATACCACTTAAACCTTCTGCATTCAATCGATACTGGCCCGATCCCATATAACCAGTACTGAATCGTATCAATTGACTTGTGTACGGTTGCAAATTCGCCTCACGATAGTTTGAATATTTATTTTGGATGCCTTCAATGCCAACACGAATTTCGCATGGTGTTGAACTGTCGTGCAAGCTAACAGCTACATGATACTCGGAATTGGGCCGAATTACTTCAGGTGCAACAATCGAATAGTGACTGAAAAGAGTGCAAATTTTTTTTCGTTTGCAAATGAAAAACAAAAATTTAACTATTAGCTTATCCGATTCATTTACATCGTTTGTAAGCATTGTTGAATAATTTCGCACAAACAAAATGTTTCAACGGGCAAACATGAATTTCGATGGGTGGGCGTTATCGTTGTTGTCGCTGAATCAATACCATGGCTATAAAAGTAGTTATATGCAAATATTTCAACTTGAACTGTTTAAACAAGCCAAACTGTGGGCTGATTTTTAAATTGTTGAAGAAAGCTCTTGTCTATTTAATCGAAAATACTGCGTGTATTGAAAATGTACACGTATGCGTAAAAAATGGCAAATCATCTAGAAAAAAGTCAACTAGATTGCTGATTTGATTCTTGTTCTTGATACATATTTGCTGGACTTTCAAATGGACACCATGAAATTAACGGATATTTTCACTTTACGGTGTTTCGTTGAAACGACGACAAAATACTCAGCAGACGGAGCAAAAAGTGTCTTTGCCCTCATGGAGAATTAAAAAGTGGCATATTTGTCATACGCTGATTACTAGAAATATGCGTTGATCTTATTGTTACTTTTTTTGCCTCTCGTTGATATTTGCTACGGTGACGCCAATGAGAACAAGTCTCTAAATATGGAAGTTGCGTCCATCTACATGATTAGCAGCGATCGCCGTGTTTCACAACTGAATTTATCTACAAATACCAATGCAAACAGTATACATTTTTGTCGCGCGCACACGTTCGTTACAAAATATCAATGGGTTTGCGTTGTGTCACTCACAGCGAGTGCACATATATCTCGAAAACACCTTAAAACACATCTGTAACACCTTCACATTACGCGTATAGAGATGCGATCAATCTTCGTCGTGTATCGATGAATCCAGAACCAATTTTATGGCGACCTTGAGCTCTCTCGCGACTCACTCGCAGTAGACGTAAGCGTTTTTTTTTTCAGAGAACAAAATTGGCCTTTTGTCAGCTCATTTCATATTTGAGTTAATTCCTTTGTGTTTCGCCGAATTTGTTGAAAATGCTTCGCGACAATTTCACGGCCGGAATAAGATAATGAAAATGGGGAATGAAATTGGATAATTATAATGTAATCCAATTCATTTGTAATTGTAATTAGAAAAGAACTTGCTCGTCGTACAATACACTCCATGAAACATCGTGTAAAATGACATAGAGCGAAAGATTTCACAGAAGAAAAAACGAAAACGCCAACGTAAATGTACGAATACACACTAAAAAAATAAACCACTGACCAATTGGACTGGTGTGTGTGTGTGTTTAAAATAGTAAAAGCCAGAAACCAAATCACGTATCTCAACAGATCAAATCGCCAATTTACGAATAAGGAAGTCTTAATTGCCATTTTTTTGAGTGTTCGTGTGTTGTGAAACGTTAAATCATATTTTAAACGCATTTCTCATTTCACGAATTGTATTTTATGTAACGCAACCACGACTGAACGCTACATGGTCAGCAAAACAAAAAACGAAGAAACAAAACGCATAAATTCATTTAAATCAACACTTTCATCGCGTCTTTGTTGTTTGTCGTTTGAATTTACCAGAATGAAATGGGATTTTCGAAAAAAATTCTTAGTAACACTAACCCACTGCACTGGATTCGTTGAATATTGAGCAACCATATCGTCACAAATGGAATTATCTGCAACATATTGTAGACTAAACAAAACGACACTGTATTCTCAGAACTCTTTACAAAATATTCATCAAGGTACAACAACACAAACTGTCACACAACAGCAGCAGCACCCAGCACACAATAAACTCCTTCTCTTCCACCGTTTTACAATAATAGTATACTGTTTACATGAACAAAAACACTCTAGTTGTCACAGCTGTATGCTTGTTTCTTTAGACGGTCTTTTTTCAATGCACGTTCAATTTAGCGATTGGAACGAAATAACAAAAGTTGAAAATCGCGTGTAGACATTACCATGCTCGCGACTCAAATGAAATGTATGATATAGTTGGTCAACAAAGAGACCGCAAGCTGCGCAGAGAGACACATACAGGGAGAGAGAGAGAGAGCGGCTGTTTTGCATCAATTAAATGATGAACGTAACGAGCAAACCCGATACATGTGAACGCTGTTGCTGCTGCTACGCTGCAACCGTCGTCGACGAGACAACAACAACAACAATGAAAAATGATGTGTGAATGTGTATGGTGGTGGTTCAGTTGAGTCTGCATGATCTGTGCGCGCTTACCTTTACTCCACATATTTACAAACAAATCGATCACTTGAGTGAATTTTGATAATGATGTCATCGGCTGAGTGTGACTTTGTGTATTCATTTTATGTGTAGGTGTCGAAATCTTGTTGTTGCTGCTGCTGCAGCAGCAGCCGAGAGTCTTCTCCGTATGAGATATAAGTCGTTGCTTTGCAAAAGTAACAATGGAGACGCCGATTCAAAGATTCTGAGTCGATAAACCGTCCGCATTTAAAATTCATTGTTTACAAATAAACACAGAGGCTTTGATGATGCATGAGTTCGTATGATATGTTTGCTTTTTTATTTTGTTTATTTTTTGCTCCGCTTGAAATGACATTTCTATGAGCGGTTGGGTTCAGTACACTTCTCTAAATTATCGCACACACTGCTAGTTCGAGTTAAAATGCCGAACTAAGCGGTTCTGTCAAATTGCGTTACAGATTTTTTTTCTTCAGCGTAATAATTATTTTCGGATTGATTTTGTAATACAATTTTGTTTTCCATTCATTTTATCAATATTTTTTATTGAAAAACAACGCGTGTGCCTATTTATTGATTCATTTGAACAGATTGTTTTGCCGCTATCATAATTTTTCCGCATAACCTAATCTGACCCATTGATGCGTCATACTATTATACTATAGTACATCTATCGCACAAAAGGTTTATTAATTTCAAACCATATCAAATTCAGTTCAGTTGCATTTTGAAGCAGCTTGTGTGAAGTGGATATAGCCATGAAGAGGTTTTACGACACCGTTATTGTGATAATAGCCCTAGCATTGCTGTCATTGCCCGAACAATGCATGTGTTCGGACGGTTTGGACGATTTGGAATTTGTTCCGTTAAAAAGTGATTCGAAAGAATGGTGGCAAACGGCATCACTGTACCAAATCTATCCAAGGTCATTCAAGGACTCCAACGGTGATGGAATTGGCGATTTGAATGGTAAGTGATGAAAAAAATGGTTTTTTCTTTCGAAGAATTGAGAAAAAAATATCAAAAGACTTCGAAGAATTCTTCGGCAAAATTTGGAGAAAAAAAGTTGAGACGAGAAAAATTTGTCCATAGAAAATGAAAAAGTGAAAAAATTCAGAGTGAATAAAAATCAATAGTTTCGGTTTCAAAGTGTTTATTGACTATGATCGATTTTCAGGTATCACGGAAAAATTGGAACATTTGAAAGAAATTGGCATAGCAGCGACATGGCTCTCTCCAATTTTCAAATCGCCGATGAAAGACTTTGGTTACGACGTTGCCGATTTCTACGACATACAGCCTGAATATGGAACTTTGGACGATTTCGATCGTTTGATCGCTAAGGCAAAAACATTGGATATCAAAATTATATTGGACTTTGTACCAAATCACTCGTCGGATGAGAACGACTGGTTCATCAAATCGGTCAACAAAGAGCCAGGATGGGAAGATTTCTACATATGGCATCCAGGATATCCCGATGAAAATGACCCAACAAATCGTTTGCCGCCCACCAATTGGATCAGCGTCTTTCGGAAAAGTGCCTGGAAATGGAGTGAAAAACGTGGCGAATTCTATTTTCATCAAGTAAGTATCAAACCACATATTGTGTTGTAAGATTAGTTCCTGTTCTGTAATCAATTTCTTTTTTATCAGTTTTTAGCTGGTCAACCCGATTTGGTAAGAAAAGGTCAATAAATTTATGTAAAAAGTTCATGAATAATAATTTGTTTTTATTTATAATTTCACGCAATCAAAGAACTACCGCAATCCAAAGGTCGTTGATGAAATGAAAGTAAGCTTATCAACACAGTACATGCGTACAATTATAGTGGAATTCATTGATTGTGAAATTTATTGTGTTTTCTTTAATTCATTCAGAATGTGCTGAGATTCTGGATGGACCGTGGAGTGAGCGGATTTCGCATTGACGCTGTGCCGCATTTGTTCGAGGTTCCAGCCAACAAAAACGGACGTCTGCCAGATGAACCACGCAGTGGCAATACTAATGATCCTGATGATTGGAATTATTTAAAGCATATTTTTACCGTTGATCAGCCCGAAACGATTGACATGGTTTATCAATGGCGTGAAGTCTTAGATGAACATCAGCGTCAAAACGGTGGTGATGCGCGTATTATGCTCACTGAAGCTTATTCTTCGTTGAATATTATTTCGCAATACTTTGGCAATGCCACTCACAATGGATCTCATGTGCCATTCAATTTTCAATTGCTGACCCGAGTGTGGAACGAATCAAATGCCGTTGATTACATCAGTTGCATCGATGACTTTATGAAAATCGTGCCGAAAAATCAAGTTGCCAACTGGGTGGTAGGTTTTAGTTTGGACAGTTTTGTCGTGAAATGGAAATAAGTGAAAAATTGTTTAAAAATTGAGCGAAAGTAGAGAGAATTTGTCGGAATTTTTTTTTTGACAATTTGGTTAAATTTGGCCAAATGTTATGTTGTTCCCCTTGCATTGTTATCAACAGGTTGGAAATCACGATAACCATCGCGTTGGAACGAGACTTGGAAGAGACAGAATAGACGCCATTAATATGATTATTTTGACATTGCCCGGAATCAGCATCACCTACAATGTAAGAATAGCTTTCAATTCAATTCTGCAATTTCGATTTATGATTCTAACATTTTTGTTTTTTCTTCCAATTGAAATCTAAATTAAAATTGTGGAATTGGAGGGTGAGGAAATTGGAATGACCGATCAATGGCTTTCATGGTAAAATGCAACTCTGAATAAAATGAATGGAAATGTGGAAAGTAACAATTTCTTTACATTTTTTCATCTTACTAGGAAGGACACAGTTGATCCAGCTGCATGTAATAGCAACCCATCGATTTATGAACAATTCACTCGCGATCCCGAGCGAACACCATTCCAATGGGATGACAGCACAAACGCTGGTTTCAGTACAGCTCCAAAGACCTGGCTTCCTATTGCCGACAACTACAAAGAATTCAATGTTGCCAAAGAAGATTCTGATGAAAAAAGCTATCTGAAGGTTTTCAAGAGCTTGAAAGAGCTACGGAAAGAGCCAACGTTACAGGATGGAGACACAAAATACGCGGCACTAGGACAACAAGTTGTTGCTATTGCTAGGTATGTACCTATTTTCTGGAGTTTTATCAAACGGTTACCATAACAAAACTATTTTCTAGGTATTTGGACGGCAAGAAGCTATACATCACCGTCTGCAACATTGGCCCATTCATCGAGAAAGTCAATTTGAATGCGATCGGAGTTACCGTACCTGAAACATTGGCATTCCATATCGTTGGCGTATCATCATCACATAAAATTAAGTAAGAAACACCACAGATACTTGTTCACAATCAAAACTAAACTCGATTCACTTTGAAACTTAATCCAATTCGAACAATTTTCACAGTGAACAAGTGTTGTCCAAGAATGTGGTTCTTCAACCCAGAGAGGCATTCGTGCTAAGAAGCGAAAATGCGGTCACTCAATCGAAATCGTACAACTATTTCCATCACAGCATTTTTGATTTATGACTAGACGTGGTGCAGAATGCCATTCGATTTTTCATACCGTCATTTTGCCAATTCAAGAGACCGTACTGAGTCATGTCGGATTTTGTTTAAAGATAACAATAAAATTGTACTCGAGATATTTTTAAATGAATGAAGGACTTTATACACGTCGTTGAATCAATGTGTGTGATAAGAATTAGAATCAATAGATAAAGAAATATTTTTTTATTTTTGTTTTGAAATGAGAAAAGTAAATAAAAAATGTTCAAACACTCAGCTATTCAAACAATGACCGTGGCCTTTGTTTAATTTGTACACCATATATGGTTTATTGTGCAAATGAAAACGAAATGAGCAAAAACATTCTGATACATAAAAAAAAACTGATAAGAACATTGAATCATTTGTTATTTTTTCTTTTCTCTATACATTTAACGATTTTTTGTCATTTCTGCGTCGAAGCTAATGTGCACAAGTGCAATCAATCGTTCATTCGCTTATTTTATCAATTGCTTTGTTTGAGGCCACCATTCTTTGCAGGAAAAAAATCTGTAAATAATACAATACGTTCTTTACAGATACTTCGAATCTGTATATCTGCAAAGAACGTATTTTGTTATTTACAGTAAAATTTTATGGCGTACGCGCGCGCGTACATTCCCTTAACTCCATAAATGAGCTAACAATTATTATAAATAAACAATACAAATGTCCACAAACACAAGAAAGTCCACACAGAAATGTGACGAAAAACCATGAAATGTTGAAAATGTGTCGGAGATTCGCACAAGGCAAATATTACGGTAATTTGCTTTAGAAAATTCTGCTCAGAACAACATTATGCTATACAGGATCAACTGTCGCTGATCGCCGTTTGAGTGAAAAACAACACACCTATATGCTTGCAGCGCTCGTTTCAATTCGTTTCTCCCTATGTATACAGCGAAACATTGATTTATATCGCACTGGACACATTGTCTTCAATTGATAGTTTTTTTGCACATTTCTGTGTGGATTAACTGAGTTTATGTACTTTTATATTGTTTAATAGTAATAATTGTTAGCCTATTTATGGCCATAAAATTTCACTGTTAACAAAATACGTTCTCTGCAGATACTTCGAATCTGTACATCTGTAAAGAACGTATTTTGTTATTTACAGATTTTCTTATTGCAAAGAATGGCGGCCCTTCGTTTGATTATTATTTACGATTTTATTTTACGTCGAAGACATTTTTAGCAACAGTATCCCCGAAAGAATTTATCAGTAATAAGGAAACACAAGTATTTTTTTATATTAAAATTTTCAATTTTTTTATTAACTTTGATTTAAAATTTTCCAAAACCCAAATTCCGAACGTTTTTTTTAAATAAATTTTCAAACTTTTTTTTGAAATTAAAACAACTTACTCGCTACAAAAATGTAATTTCGAATTTTGTAGAAAGATGTTCACCAGAATGTATCCCAAAAATGAGTTAGATGCATGTTCAACTACTTTAAGCACTTTCAGATCGATTTAAAAAAAATTCTAGTTAATTAATAAGTTATCTAAATTGATTGTATATCAATCGTGGAATTTTAACAATTTGCGACTCGTTTATATCATTTGTAATCAGACTTTTTTCTATCTAGTTAGCAGACTTCAAACTTGTTCAAATGCAATGAAATAAAGATTTGGAAATAAATTCCCAGAGGAATGTTAAGCAACCCAAAAGCTAAATGCAATGAATGGCATGATTAACCCGGTTAGAATGCTTGATATTAGGTTAACACTGTGATTGTCCAGCAAGCGTGTGCCGCTAATGTGTTTAACATTTGGTCCAGGTCGTTCAACGACCCGTCCATCCGAATCTAAGCCGGAATATTGTAATGTTGCCCCCAGCAATGAATCAATGATCGATCCAAGAAGACCGGCAATACCACCAAACATGACGACTGGCCACTGTGGCGGGCTACCAGCTAAAATATTACGGTCAACCACGTAATAAACAACAAGGAAGTACGAAAAACCAACCACAATACCGCCGAGAAAACTGTAAAATAGAGTGGAAAAACATTATTTTCTCACGTATATGAAAGAAATGAAATTTGTTATTTCGTGGAAAAGTGTCAGTTCAATGTCGAAAAATGACAGAAATGGAAAGAATGTATTCAATTTCACAAACAAGTGGCCATATCTCACCTAACAATCAATCCAATGAAGCTAACTCCGCCGTTTGTACCACGTGGTACTCGTTTGCGTGTCGTGATTAAAAATGGATCTGATCCCATAACTGAACCAATCTCGCTGGCCCATGTATCGCCATTACAACAGGCAAACGCTGACATCACGGCAATTCCAAGCCAACTCGGTCGATATTGGGTGAGAAAATCGATTGGTCGCTCACTGCTGCCACAGTCCAACAAATAGAGTAAAGCTAATTGCATCGCCATTCCACCATTGCACAAAACCTGCACCCAATTTCGCTTGCCTTCGCCTGAGAATACACACAAAAATAATTAATTCAATATTAATCACAATGTGGTTTACAATTGCATTACCTCCTTTGAAATCTGCCTCAAACTTCCGTTTCAAGTGACTACGGAATTTAGTTACGCGAGATGATGAGAAGAAAAATGTGGCCAAACAAGCTAAAAATGCATGCGATGCCAATGATAAAGTGATTGCTACAACCAAACCCAGTGTGGCACCACTGTAATTAACAGCTTTCCTTTTCAGTCCGTAGGCCATCAACAAAATTGGCACCAACGTTGAAAACAACCATCGTGTCGGTGGAATTGTTGCATTTTCTATAGCAAAAAAAATATTACATTGATTAATATTATGATGTTCCCATTCCGAGTTAGATTAATTTCCGCTTACCATCACTATCAAGCGAACTTTTCGTTATGAATGTTAATGCCAAATTGCCAAGCCACAGAAAAATTGATAATGGAATAGACAGACCACACAACAACACAGGTAAAATAGTATAAAATACTGATTTCGGTTCACTATTCTCTTTTGGCTCCGTCATTTTGCTCGGGTATTTGCACTAATTTTCAAATCAGACAAACACAGCCTAATTTTCATTGGCCGAAATAGAGCACACAATAGATTTTTGCTTCGTGTGCAAGCAATGTCAAAAAAGTCAATGATATTTGTGTTTTGGTTAAGACGCAGTCGGCAATTTGACACTCCAACTAGCTGCCATGTTTGTTTACAATAATGAACTGTCAAAACAGTTGTATCCCAATGAGCAGTTTGTGGAACATGAGTTTCATTGAGTGCATTCAAACGGTTAAAGTCGTTGAATGGCATGACATTTTGAAAAGTGGAATTTAGAACGAAAATTGGACATGAATTTGTGAACGATTTGATTTTAAAATTAATTTTAATAAGAATTTAGAAGTAAATTGTGGTGCAAACAGGCAAACTGACATAACTCTTATTCAAAGAGTGACCACGTAACGTAGTTTTTTTAAGTATTGACACAAAAATTGATTGCGAGACATTTTTTTTCTGAATAATTTGCAAATTCATCACAAATTGTCAACAAAGCACTGACCACTTGCACAAATTAATATGTCTTCGGTTTTTCGTGCTTCAATTGTTATTGTAGTAAAACCAGACTCGAATTGCAAAACAACATACGTATTACAGCCAATAAACGAAGTGTGATATTCTATTTCATTCTGTTCAACTGTTAGCTCATCATCGTTTTACCGCTTTAACACCGAAACATTTGACTTTAAACTCACTGTTCACTCAAGTTCAATCCGATACGAAGCATAATTTGAGCAGCAATTTCAGCAGTAGTTGCATTGCACTGTTGGAACCTTCCTATACCAAGCAAACTTTAGCGAAGAAAGCAAACCCGTTCGAAAGCAAGATTAATTTTTTTCTTAAACTACATCATAGCAAATTGAAAATATAGAGTAAGAAGATAAGACTAGTTGGTGGAATTAGAAAAGTGAATACAAATAACGAATCTGTAAAAGCAAAATCGAAAAAACAGCAAATTTTTTATCGTGGTTTCACTCAAAAATTAAAGAAAGAAGCCAAAAGTGGAAGGAACCGTTGGATGTCGAGCCCAATATCAACAACACAACCAGAGCAACATCAAAAGCATCTCACGCAAAAACCGTTTTCTATGGTACAGTCAACCAAAAGATGTTCAATGAACATGACATCGAAGAGATACAAGAGCGCATACGAAACGAATTGTTCACATTGCAGCACAACGACAAATACCACAACGCAATCAAAGATTTCATAAAGCAAGAAACCGTTACAGTTCATTCGGAAAGCAAATTCGACGGACTCGATACGAAAAGATCAGTGCTAAGTATCTGAATAAAAGAAAACGTGTATACTTTCGATATGCGGCGTCTTGGTGCCATGAAGAAGAAAATGAAAAAAATCAATGAAGTCACCGGATTTGCCATGGAAGGTGGTACAGTGTACTATAATTTTATTAGATGTTTTTGTAATTAACCTTAATTTGAAAGGTAAAATGTGTTCAAGCGTTGCAAGTTTTTAATCCATTTCTTTGATTGTACCGTTGGTTGAGCCTGTTATTTCATTGTATTTTTTGTTTTGCTCAAACCTTGTTCTGTGGTTTATGTTTGTAATAAAGAGAGAAAAGGGAATTCAAATAAACTTCAATTTTCAATTTCAATAGTTTGACTACTTTGTTGAGCCGCTTACAAAGATTGTATTGATCCGAGCGGCATTGAACGGAATACTGTTAATAATTGAGTCGTTTTGGCACATGAATGACATCTTGATGAAACCAATCTTCACCAGAATGTATGGTGCGACTTTAGAGAAACTAAAGATGGAATCTTCGTTCAAAATAGGTAAGAAGCCGACAAAAGATCAAAGTTTAACCAGACGTTCTACAACACCGAAACAAAAAAAGGTTAATATGGTTCGAAAAACAATCACCAGCAACAGACAACGCGGATCCGAGTAGAAGTCAACGGAATGTGATCAACAAAATTTGCACTCGTAAAATGAAATTCATTTCGTATGAATTTAACCGACATTTTTGAATCGAACGCTGAATTCGCTCAAAATAGAGCTACTAATTGGTATTATGTGTATACTGTATTCGTTTGGGTTCGCTGAAAACTTAACGAAAAGTCACCATCGCAGCGTTGATGCTGAAGGTTGTGGTTAGCTTGCTGTTCATTGTTAAATGAGTCACAGAGTGGGGTAGACATTTTGAAAGACGATACGCAAAAAAAAACAATTCTATTTTCGACAGACGTGAGTGTTTAAAAAATTTGTCATTTATTTCGTTGTTGGAATTTTGTGATTCTGTTGAGATCGTGACAAATCATTCGTGTGAATTTCTGATCAATATACTTTCACGCACATTTAGTGTGTATTTTTTATGCAACAGACACGACTCATTTAATGGTGTTTGATTTTTGGTGTTTTTCCGAAATCAAATAGATAATGAACCCGTTCAAAGGTATTTCTAGTAGACGCTGTAGGCAAAAAATAAAGCGCAAGTCTAAAATTGAGATCAAACAAGAACCTGTTATCAAAGAAGAGCACAACGGCGATGATGGCATAATTAACACACCACAGCCGAGAGCTGACGGAAGATATCGTGCGATGTACGAAGGACCAGTTGACTTTGCGTATTACTTCGATGAGGTGAAGGATGAAATCAAATGTGAAAAAGAAGAGACGGGCAAAGGAAAGGACTCAACACCATGTAAACGATTAGATGAGAACGCCGCAAATGATTTTGACAACGAAGATTCGATTGTGGATGCAATTGATGTTCAACCACGGAAACCAGTCGCCAGCGGAAAGAAAAGAAATGGAGGAGCCAAAAATCAAAACAAACGATCCATCCCCAGGAATCAAGAGGCCAAAAAACCGAAGAAGCACAAATGAACCGTTGCGACAAAAAAATTCCGTCAGAATATTTGAGAATTGAATCGAAGCATGGCATTTGCCTACAAACAAAGAGCAACAACGCAAGTTTTTGAACCAAAGCGACACAAAGCAAATGTGAAAAACAAAGTGCAACATAAAAATTCATGTTGCAGTTTAAAGCCGAAACTTGCTTTGTGGCACTTTGTTTCTCAAATTAGTGTTGTTTCTCTTTAAATCTATATTCGGGCATGATACAGTCTGTTTCAAAATTATGATAAGTTGATAGTGTGCGAATTTCGATGTGCCGATAGCACCAATGGATTGGGCACATTGAATACTGTATGTGACAGAGACTGAAATAACCGGATCTTCTGCCAGTTTTCGGATCTTCTGAACGGAAAAATGCTCCTCTAGTTTTAAATTACGGATCCTAAGAAATTTCGAATGAAACAAAATTTATGCCCAAAGCACGCATACAAAATACTCTCTGATAGAATATATTACAATAAATTAGGGAAAAATTGAATTTCATTGCACATCATATGGAAATTTTCGGCTCGTTTCGCTCGCCATACAAACACTAAAATTATTGGTCAAGATATGGGAAATATCAAATTCGTTATCGCAAAAACTGTTCATTTTTTTGAATTCTTTGTGTGCACCTGCATTCTGAAATTCTTCAGCTTTTCAAATTTAAATCGTTATTTGAAACAGTTCTGCGTTCACATAATAAATTCTCTCTTTGAAGACTTCGGTTGGAAATCGAAGTTGAATGATTGAATATCCTAAAACACCGGTTGTGAAGAAATCGTGGCACTAGCATGCATTAATGTGCTGAGACGGCATTCATATTGAAAAAATAATTCCAAAAATCGGCAATAAAATTGTGGATGAATGATAAAAATCAATGGGGAATATTTAATTTTGTTTTTTTTTCGTAAAACAAATTGAATCTTTCAAATACAATAAAACCAATCTATAATTCGGAGTTTCGTTTTGTTTTTTAGTTTGCAATCGAAATTTCGGATCTTCTGAAAATTTCTCATTTCAGTCTCTGGTATGAGAACCGAAAAAAAATTAACTTTTTTTCGATTTTTGCCTGTGTTGGACCATCTACATGGGAAGTTTGTATGAAAACCTCGGAGCGCCGCTGCTATTGCATTGGCTTCTATGGCAAAATGTAAACATGGATATATCTCGAAAACGGCTGGGTAAATTGGCATAATGGACCGTGGTGTCACCCCTGAGGGGAGTGCTAACACCCGGCTGGTTTAACGGCCTAGAATACAAATCCAGTGAAATTTAAGCTGATGCATGGATTCCAGGTTCTAGTGCTTCGGTTAAAGCTTTGTGTCGCTTTGGTTCAAAAACTTGCGTTGTTGCTCTTTGTTCGTAGGCAAATGCCATGCTTCGATTCAATTCTCAAATATTCTGAGGGAATTTTTTTGTCGCAATGGCTCAAATGTGAAGTGTGCAATCATATGGCACGCAACAAGTCTGAACTCCTAACACACTTGCGCATTCACACTGGAGAGAAGCATTCAAGTGTGGTGTTTGTTCAAAGTCTTTTGCTCGGAAAGATGGTTTGGGCCATCATAAGAAAACGCATGGCCAATTTTGTTGCTCAAAGTGTAATCAAGGATTTAACCAAGAATCAGTCATCACCGATCATGAAAGATTGTGTAATCCGCGCCACGATCCGATAGCATGAGACTTTTTACGTCACAGAAATGTGTACGTGCTTTACATGTTTATTCATGTTTAAATGATTGAAACTTGCAATTTTGACTACTTTCAGGCGTTGTTGTTGTGTTCTTCAATGCAATTAAGATAGAAACTTTGTGATTACATGTTAGTTCATGAATATTTTCACTAGTTTCGCTCTTGTCACATTCTGTATATTCAGTGTCCATATGAATCAATGTATTTTTGGTTTTTGCTGTCGGATCGTGATCGCTTTCGGCATCCGAGTCAATCATTTCATCGCCACCACCGTTTGCCTCATCTTCAATCTCATAATGTTCAAAAAACGAACAAACGAATGTTATTGAAACGAGCTAAAAACTCTAACGGTTCATTTGTTACCTCGCTATCGCTTTCGGCATCCGAGTCAGTCATTTCATAGCCACCACCGTTTGCCTCATCTTCAATCTCATAATGTTCAAAAAACGAACAAACGAATGTCATTGAAACGAGCTAAAAACTCTAATTATTCATGTATTACCTCGCTATCGCTTTCGGCATCCGAGTCAATCATTCCCGAATCAGTCTCCCATCCAAATGGACTGTTTTGTACCGAATTTTGTGAACTGCCGGCTCCATAATCTTCGTCCTCTTCCGAATCGCTTTCAACCATCGGAGGACCTGAGCCACGACCAGATTCTGCGTTGATGAAATCATCAACATTGCCCATTATTAACGTATCTTCGTCATCCGAAATGAGCACTATGTCGTTTTCCATTTTTGCATCCAATCGAAATATAAACCACACAATAAAATGAGCGGTTCACCGAATCTTCTTATGTCTTTCTTATTCAACTGTTCAACACAGGTTGTTCGATTTGGTTGTTCATATATATTTAGTTCAACACAAACGAAATGTTAAACCACTGACGCTATCTAACGCCCTCTATCTTATTTTTAAGAAATTAGAAAAATATTGGAGCTGACTCAAATTGTGTATTTTTTTGTTATGTTATCGAATCTGCGCCTTTCTCATTTAATTTGAATAGAAACTTCTTCCTCTTGACTCCAAAGTCAACACTTTTACGTAGAACGAATCTACGAATATTATTGTATGGTTTGTATTTCATCTCATCTATTTTCTCTTCTTTTTTTGGTCGCTTTGACGATAAATATTTTTTTTCTTTATCACTAAAAGCAGTTTTATTCTTTTGTTGTTATTTTTTTTTATACTCTTTTCTCGGCTTTTCTTTGAATTTATCTTTATTCGAACGTTTATATTCTTTATATTTTTCTTTTGTATTAATTTAATTTCTTCTTCAGTCGAGTGGGGACGCTTTGATTCAGTAATTTTTTTTTCATCAAAACCCTCTTCTTTTTAATTTGTAAGCCAAAGGTTCCCACTTTTTATTCTGTTTTATTCATGCCAGACAAATGAATCTATCGCACTTTGATAACATTGTGGAAATTGAAATGCTACGACAGAGTATCGGGTATGGCAAATCACATGAAAACTATTAAACACAAAATGCATATTTGAACAATGTTTGATTACTGGTGATTTTCAGTTTGACTGTGACAAATATCGAGGGACAAGTTGTGGCATCAAATTTGGTGCATGAAACTAATTGTGTAATTTTGATGCCAGAGTTTGCGTTACGCTTGCAGATTTCCGTTGACGATCCGCTCACAGCTGAATTATTCTGAATCTTTGATACAGTTTGTGAATTTTTTATTTAATGGAGCCTAAAGCCCACACGTTGAAGCGCTACATGGCTCGACTTTGGGCATCATCTTCTTCCTTTAAAACCTTCTCTTTGGTGCGTTTCATGAACTTCATGTCCAAAATACTTTTGGATAATTTCACTTTATTCCGTTCCGACGACATTTTTGATTGCTTTTTCTTTGTGTTTGTAGCCTTTTGAATGATTTAAATTAATCGCTTTGGATTTAGAATCGGCGGCTGTTAGAGGAGACTATTGTAACAAACTTTCCGACGAAATATTGTAACAACACGGTGTGTATTGAAACCGATCGCTTTGAAAGTAAGATTAAACACATGTGCGAATGAGAATTCACATTGTATTCAGATTGTTGTCAAAAAAACTACCGACTTCGCATTTTTTGAACACTTTTGGAATTTTTCAAATCTCGGTTGCATGACTGTTTTAAATAAACTGTATTTTTATAAAAATAAATTAAGCGTAAACATTTAAATAAAACGTAAAATAAGTAAATCAAATCTTTTAGCATGAAATATTTCATAAAAATCAATCATTTTCATGGATGAAATGCAGCACGGCAGAATTATCGGCAATGAAGATTTCATTTGAAAAAAAAAAGATTTCATTCATCCGCGCCAATTCGAATGCGATATTTGCGAATATAAAACAAAGTGTAAATCAAGTTTGACAAGGTATATACGGACTCACACCGGAGAAAAGCCGTTCAAGTGCTCAATTTGTTCCAAATCGTTCAGAACAAACTTTGAACTCCGAAGTCATTCAATGACTCACATCGTTGGACGGCCAAAATCTTGTTCGAGATGTGGCCGGCGATTTGCCACTCTGGAAGATAAGCAAGCACACAAAACGCGCTGCCAACGAAGTCTATTTGCATGTAATGTGTGTCATTACAAAAATTTTCGTAAGTCGTATTTGAAACTTCACATGCAATACAAACACGGAGCTAAAAGACCGAACAATTGTGAAATTTGCAGCAAAGAATCCGTTGTACGGAAAGAATTAAATCGACATTTGTCAACAACAACACATAGCACGCAGTTCCCGTTTGAATGCTTCAAGTGCTTTGGAGGATACGCATCAGTATCAAGTGCCCGCCGTCAGTATCAATGCCATTTGTGTAAAGAGATCACTCTGGTGAGAGGATTCAATGTAAAGTATGCAAAGCAAGCTTCACCAACAAAAGTAATGTCAATCAACACATGAAAAGAGTTCGACTTTTAAAGGAGTGAAATATAAGGTAGTTTTCAGTAGTTAACTTTGAATTCGATTTGTTACGATTCATTTGAATAGATACATTAATTGAACCCAAGTAATTGGATACTCTTCAGTTCAAAAATTGGAAATCATTTTCAAATAACAATATTTTTATTGCAACAGAACATGATTCTTTAGATCGCAAACAAAAAATGCTCGGGACGGTTGACATTTCTAAATGATGAACACCAAGTCGGTTCGAACAACAAGACACACACAGGTTCTGCAATAGCCAAGCTGAGCACAATGGAAACTCTTAACGCAGGAATAAAACTACTCAATGTAAAATAAACCATGAACATTCAGGAACCATTTCAATCACCTAAAATAATACTTTAAAATTAGACAAATCCATCGAAATTCTTTGTGAAAAAAAAATTTAATTTGAAAGTTGAAAAACTGATTTTAAATGAAGTAAAATTTTAGGAAAGTGATGAAAATTAATGTATGGAAGAAATCACAAAGAATAAATAAAGAAATGTAAAATATGAAGTTGGTATAAATTGAGCGACGACTTTTGCTGTCCTAGGGTCTCAAATTAAACGTGTAATTAAACGCTTCACATAGCCTTTGTCCATTGGAAACGTTTACCGAAGGTTATCTTGGACCGTTTGCCATAGACTAATATCAGGCATTTCCATCTTGGTTGCATGACTGTTTTCGTTTCCATGTTCCTACTATTGTGATTAACGCATAATTTACGAAAAGAGCCAGGTTTTTAACGAGGCGAGAACTGATAGTTATCGAAACCTATTGCTACTAATTGTTTATTATTTTAAATATGTAACAGTCTTGCGCTCTTTTCCTGCCAAACCTGAATCAAAATCCACATTATATTCAGCCAGAGCTTGGCGGTTTTTAATAAAATAAAAAATAAATAAATAAATAAAATGCATTTAGAACGCTACAGTTAACATATTCAAGTAAACATCTAATACTTAAAGAGAAAAATAGAAAATGATTGGATAAGAAGCAACAACATGAAAAAAAAACAAGAAAAAAAGTCGAAACAAACATAAAAATAGCCAATGCAAACCAAGTTGCACAAAGCGAAAGTTATTCACAAAAATATACATTATTACAATGTACATCATATGTGTTTTGCGTATGGAATTTGATAATTGTATCAATGCCACAATTTGTCAACGGTTTTATCACGATTGCTGCAATTTCATTCTTTGTTCGTAAAGATCAAAAACGTTTTTACTAATGAAATGTCAACTATTACTGTGAAGCATGGAAAAAATGAATTTTCTGAATAAAGTTGAAAATTGTCCAAACAGAGAACAATGTTGTTTAAGCGAATCGAAGCAAATTTCGTTGACACAGTTCCATCCACAAGTTTTTCTATTTGAAATCTACTCAAAAAAATATTATTGACAATCTTCGTACGTGATTGATTGATTGTTGAACTTTGTTTTCAAATACCCTAGACTGCGCTAGAAATTTCGAAGAATTAATCATATACCGTATGAAATAAAGAGTAATAATAATAATAAATAACAATAATTGAAGTTGCATCAAGTCTGTACGTGACAATAATGAAGTATTTCATGTATTGAAAAAAAATGTGTTAATCATGTGATTGAAGGATGAAAATAAATAGATTCTTATCAATAATAATTAGAAAGTAACAGTTGTTTTGGTCTTTTTCTGTACAAATTAATAAATATTTGCACTATTGCACTCTTCAGCTCAGTAATAAAGAAAAAAATGTCCAATGTGGGTTAAGTTATGTCATTGACATGCAACGAATTAGATAAGAAAGTTTGAACCGCAGCGAATGTACGATAAAACTCCAATTCAAAGTAATAACACGACTCATTCAGAACAACGTTTTGCTGGTTTATTTCATTACACTCGTCTCGTTCAATTGAGCGTAATTGAAATTCTTATAGCGAACACTTCAGTGCGAAATCGAAATTAGGCACATGCCGAGAATGAGTAATGAATTGGTTAACATGTTTGGTTCGAAACGAAATGAAAATACTCTAAAATTCGTAAAAAAATGTGGGTATTTTCTGAATGATCCGACGAAAAAAACAAAAGGTATGGCTCAATATAATGACCTACTTGAATTAACTCGATTAGATAGACAAATTGGCACTCGACCATATCTTAAATATGTTGAAAGATCCAGACGCGTGGCTTGACATTTTTTTACCGTGCAATCTTCTATGTCGAAAAAAGACATTGTTTTTGTTCTACTTTTATCCAAACCGCCAACCACTTGAACATTTTCACATTTGGGGATAAATGATATTTTACATAATCTCGATGTTTTGTTACGATCATCACGCGTATTTCATTTTCGTTACAAATAATTGAGTTCCTTTGCTTCTTTCACCATTGCTACGAGACCGTCAAGTATTTCCTCGGAATTGGGAATGATTTGGTCTGCAGGCAAAATGAAGCCATTTTGACCTGAAAGAATTCCGAAAAAAAAATCGAAAATAAAACAATTTCTGGTTGATTCCATAATAATCACTGAATTTCTTTTCAAAAACCACCTTTGTCCCGGAATTCAAAAGTGTATGTAATCGGTACTTTCGCTACTCTATAAGCCCAATCGACACTACTACCTGACGTCAAATCTGTTTCAGAACACATTTCTTAAATAAATGTTTGTATTTAAATTGAATAATTTGGTGAGGATATTTCCAAACATTCAGTTTTCGTTTATTTTAGTTTTTTGTCAAGTAAAAAGGAAAATGAATATGAAATTATCGGTTGTACTCACAAATTGTGGTTGCACTATCGCCGGTTTTATAATCGGTTCCATATCGTTTTGCAATTGCTTCGATGGTTTTTTCACCAATTTGCAACTGTGAAAAAGAATTGAATTTATCATTGACTTTCATTCAATCCTCATTCAATTTAATTTTTTCATGATATTCAATATCATATTGACTGCTTACCATATCATCGTGATTCGGTGCTGGGTCAGTTGTATGCCCCTGTAAACAAATTATATCACACAAATTAGTTATTTCAGATGATAAATAACAGCACACACCGCTGCTTTGAGCCACTTACATATGGGAACATAAGCAATTGACTGTACGAATGGAATGCAATGTACAGATTAATTGAGCCAATCGACTCTACGAACTTGGATAAAGCTAGTGCTTCTGGTTCCGAGAATGGTTTTGGTCCCGCAAAAATCTCCGAGCATGGGTTTGATGATGATCCAACGTCTAAAGTGAAAATGATATTACAAGTTTTCATGAAAAATATCTATTGCAATCAGTTTGATTTGTATATTGCCATTGTGATGGAAATCAAAGTTTCGGTTCGGATCAGCTCCAACACATCCTGAGCCATATGGTTGACGAGTTTTTCTCCACAATCGATTCTATGTAGGGAAAAATCGAGAAAATGGATATTTTTGGTTTTTTTTTCAATTTTTATTATTGCATTCAACCCACATTCGAATGTGTGTAAGCAAATCCGTCGACATTCAATACAGGAACAATGATCCAGTCGTAATTTTGAGCCAGTGATTGCACTTCTGGATCATTCGAGGTCAATAACGCGTTCAGAATATATGTTGCGGTGGCTACACTGATCCATTCACGTGCATGTATAGTTGATTCAATGAATACGGTTGAATTATTCTAAGAGAAAATTTCACATCAAAATCACAAAAACCAGATTATTCTTCACGAAAAAGTTTTTTCACAAATAAAAGACAATCCATTGAAAATGACCCAACCTTTTTCTTTGACAATTTCACGGCACGAATAGTTCGATTTTTGTAAGATGTTCCGACATCGTAGTTTGTTAGGATATCTGGATACTGTTGCAAAAGTTCGTCAAGCCAATTGTAAATATCAGGTAAATCGTAGTATTTGTCCCATCCAAATGTTCCACGAGGTGAAATCTTGGGCTGCTCTTCGTCAATCAATCTGAATCACAATTGAATGATTTAGTATTTTTATCATTTTTCAACTGAATATTGTGCTATTAGTATTGAAATCAACATACTTTTGCAAATTGTCAACTCGAATCACATTTTCGATTTTAAATTCGTCGAAAAAGTCGGCTATATCAGCAAATTTGTGTGGTGGAACGATGATTTCAGCTGATTTGTAGATCGAAATTGGCGCTTCCAAATAGAACATGCTGCTTTGAAAGTTTTCTAAGTCTTGCAGAGCCTCGAGCTGCTTTTCGTTTTGGATTTTGAGCGAATAAACTCGGTAATTATCAAACCGTGCCTTCTCACCCGAAACCAGTAGAAAACTGACAACAAATATCGCTAACGTTGGCAGTTTCATTGTTTTAACGAAAACTGTTGATTTTCACCAGAAATCCACTGACAATTAAGCAATGCAAAGCGTTTCACCGTGTTGAACTCGTCTAATTCTAATACGTACCAACTCTTACCTTATATATGGCTTTGCATTTAACGTTGTTTCACGATAGTGGGAACTTGAATTGTTTGGCGAACATTGCCATTTGGATATTACATTTGATTGATGGATACTTTAAATGATTAGAAATACACAAAGAAAAGCGGCCAGCGATTACGAATGACTCTCGATGAACCATGGATTATTTTAAGGATTTTTTAGAACGAACCAGAATTTCGAAAAAATACAAGGGGTGTTTTTTAAATATTGTGCGAACGTAGTTTATTTGAAGTGTCAAAAATACTAAGATCCAGTGATTTTTTAAACAAATGTCGGTTAATCACGATATTGGCCCTTTAACAGTGAAACTAGTAAATTCAAACATTATTTAAGGTGGTTAAAAAGTTAAAATTAGGCGAGCGTAGCGAGCCGAAATTCTTTATTCAACTACAATCAGTCCAGCGTTGTCATATGGTTGATGCTTTTTCATGAAGATAAAAACTGAATCTACTAAAGCGTAAGCCCATCTTAGATGTCGCTTTCGAATGATGTATTAATAAAATAAATAACTTCAAGGCTTTGGGAAATGCCAATATGCCAAAGATGACCGATTTTTGAATTGTGAAGCTTGTTTCGATTGTCAAAAACGACGAGACCAAAACTTCATCATGTCTTACAAATGGCCAAATTATTATTTGTGTAGTGTTTTAAGAGCTCTAAACGATGACATGTTGAATTTAGTACTGGACACAGTGATACATGTTTTTCTGCTTATTTAACGTACATAGGTTCTGACATTGGGCATTTAAGGAGGGGGTGATTTTGGCAAAAGTGAAATAAATTTGGGAGGTAATTTTTGAAAAATCGAAAAAAATTGGGGGATAATTTCATAAATGTGCTTCAAATTCAAAGGTGTAAGAAAAAAAGTTATAGGAGATACTAAAACTGTATGTACGAGCATTGCTGGAGTTTATTGCCTCCAGCCCAAAAATCGGGTCATGCGATATCTGGGGAGGTACCTAAAGTGGACTGGAAAGGGCTCCTCAAACCCTAACTTGTGTAAAAATTTCATTCGACTTTGATCGCGTTGAAAATTTGTATCAATGGACAAACAATTCGAAAATTTGCGAAATTTCGATTTTTGCACTATCCATACAGGGTCTTCAGAGGCAGACCCGGGGGAATATTTTGACTTTCTGAGTTTTTGCCCAAACCCAACTTTCATGCAAAATTTCAGCCGATTCTGAGAACCTCATGTCTAGCCTCATGTGAATTTTGATTGATTTCGTGTGGAAGGGTCGTATGACGGTTACTTCTACGGTTAAATCTATCCCCGTATTCAACCTTGGATATGCGCCTGGAATCGGATGTATTTGGGTTGATCCTGGAATCGGATGTCATTTGAGGCGATGCGAGCGCCCCCCAATTTCAAAGGGCACATCAATGTAATTTAACATTTCAAATCGGAACTAAACAGCGCGCCAATTCGAAATATAGGAAAATATAGTGTCAACAGCCGCACCATGGGGTTGATAATTGTTAGATGGAATGCCAAGCAACAAAATCAGCTGTGGCACTACACGCGCTAGAAAACAACCACACACAATGGGATGCGAGCAATATCAAACTGAAAAAACAAGTGAACAAGGCACACAAGCTCGACGCATACGAAAGCATCTATATGTATTTAAACAGAAGCATCGCAATGAATACGATGGAAGCACCAATACGGTCACCACTGTTCAGATCGATTGAAATTTACTCCAAGTAGCTGTTTCGGTTGCACCCAGTTTTATTGTTTTAGTTGTTGTAATTTTTTGGCATGCGCTCGCACCACAACACATTGTTACATGTTTTGCTTTCTGTGTATACTTTTCTTCTTTTTTCTCTCACTCACAATCACAAACAGAGACCTGAGTTCAGTGTAATTTGATACTCGCTGAGGATGATAAATGTCGAAATGCATCCGAACCAAAATTTCGTTTATAAATAAATATTCATATTGATTTATGTTTGAAATTTGAAAAAGCAAAGTCACTTTAAGGTGTTTTATTTAAAATTTAATCGTAGATTGAAAAAATCTTTCCATTTCAATTCCTTTAACAAAGTGTACGGAAAAGTAAAATATTCAACATTACCATTGTTGGCAGCATATTGAATCTATTCCAAATGTTCTGCAATATTAATTTGGTTTCTTTTACCGATAAAAAGTCTAGCGACATTATTGTGACCTGAAAAATAATACAGATCAATGGAAAAGATCAAAGCGGTATTTAATTTAGTCAGCAGTACCATGGTTATCAGCTAACTGACGAGGTGTTACATTCGCATCATTTCTAATATAAACGTTGGCTCCTTTTTTGATGAGAAGTTCAGCAACATTCTTTTGACCTTAGAAATAATTAAGATCGATGAAAAAGATCAAACCGATTCTTTATTTTGTGAAAATAACTATTCAACATTACCATTCATAGCAGCATTATGAAGGGGTGTATTATTAAAATGATTCATGATATCCATACTGGCGCCTTTGTTGAGGAGAACCTCGGCGACACTTTTGTGACCTGAAAAATAGATGAATATTCAAATCTTGGCAAATTTGACGAAATGACTTCGGGTAGGGCGATTTCAATTGTAGATTTTATGTACTTTAATGTAGTGTTTTTACTTTTTTTTATGTAGGAACAATTTTTTTGAGTAATCGGCTATCGAAAAACTGCTATAAAATGGGACAACTCAAATCTTGGTCAAAAAACGTATTTTCCACTACAGTCGACTACAATCAATTTCCGACCACTACAATAACTGTAGGTGCTTCTACAAATATTTTCGGGCCACTACAATTAATTCTTGGTTACTTCAATTATTGAAACACGTTTTATAGCAGTTTATAGCAGTTTCATTCCCATATTAAATATTAAACTCCCCTGGAGCCAAATAAGTTGTTGAAAACATCAAGGATCGGATGACTGATTTGAATTCTACATTTTTTCTACAATTTTATGGACCCTAGAAACAATAGAAAAAAGATTTAGTTTGTGGAAAGTTCGATTTGGGGCCAAGATTTGAGTATTACCGATTTCGGACCAATTTTCATGACTCCTCCCGATATCGAACGAACGGCCAGACATATTTGAAAACAGACAATTGATTTGAATTCCACAATTTATCTACAATTTTTTGGAACCATTCTTCATTCGAAAAAAAATTCGATTTGTGGAAAATACGTTTTTTGACCAAGACTTGAGTATACCATTTTATAGCAGTTTTTCGATAGCCGATTACTCAAAACTACCACTATAAACGTCAGCGATCAACATCAACAGAGACACTATAGCACATAGCATTAAACGCACTATTGCTTCACTCTTTATACACACTTTGACATCACTTATACTTTGGCGCGCGTCATACGTTTTTCAAACGTTTATGTTTGATTCAAGTATTTCACCGATTTCACCGAATTTTCTTACTCAATATCAATATATTCATTCTTACTTGGAAGTTTTTTTTTTATTGCAATCATGTTTTAAAATATATTTTGTCGAGAAATATTTTTTTTTCTATTTCCAAAATTAAATGAAATCAAAACACATAACATGAAACGCATTCATAGCGAAATGCATATGTATTAGTTTGTACTTATTCATTATAATGTATTTAGATAGAACGCTAGAGCGGCCTGACTCAAAAAAATTGTTCCTACATAAAAAAAGTAAAAACACTACATTAAAGTACATAAAATCTACAATTGAAATCGCCCTACCCGAAGTCATTTCGGCAAATTTGCCAAGATTTGAATATTCATCTTGAAAAATAATTCAGATCGACGGAAAAGATCAAATCAATCTTTTATTTAATGAAAACAAGTATTCAACATTACCATTCTCAGCAGCATAATGAAGAGGTGTATTATTAAAATTAGACACGACATCAACATTGGCGCCGTTGTTGAGGAGAAACTCGGCGACAT